AGGACCATCCTTGTATGTTCCCGGAGGTTTCTTATTATTCCAAAAAAAAATTCTTGAATGCTTAACAAAATAAGCTAAATCCTCATCTTTTAGAGCGCCTCATCATTTATTGTGTCCCAGTTTTCTTTCTTGATAGTGTTTAGGGTAATAGACTTATTTTCCTTAGACCGAGGTAAGGTAAATTTCGTAGTGGCTAAATATTAAAATAATATCCAAAATATAAAAGATTAAGCTACTCTTCTATGTACAACTGATATTTAAAGAAGAACGCCAAGTCCAATATGGTTTAAGAGCCAACAAATCTTAAATGAGCAATTCGCTATCAATAAAAATCAAACAAGCTTTCAGATTCCAAAACTGGTATTCTCAATAAGCCAGCATCTTGTTGAAGCATTCTGACAATAAATATCATATCGACTAAATATGAAAATAATAGCCAATCTATCTTAACAAAGTTGACGTTTTTGCATGAACTCTCAAGAACTAATAATATGAGATCCTGCAAAACTCCAACGAGTAATTCGATCAAAAGAACTGTCGGATTAACTGGTTTTAAGTCCATAAACTACTGTAGGTGTACCTTAGGGGTTCCTCTATTTAAAGTTCATCGAAAATCATACATTTATGATGAGGTGGTTTCTAAAATAAGAAACAAGCTCCTTAGCTGGGAATACAAGTTCCTATCTGCTGGAAGGAGATTAAAATTGATTAAACATGTTCTCAACTCAATCAATGCCTACGCATCAACTTCAATTTCTCAGCCCTCCAATATATGTCATTAGAAAATTGAAAGGATTTTTAATGATTATATTTGGGGTGACTCTAAACAGAATAAACAATTACATTTTAGCATCTTGGGAAAGGTTTGCTTTAAACCATAAGAAGGGGGCTGGGATGCATAAACTTAAGTGATCTAAACAAAGCCATTGATTGTATATTCTGGTGGAAGTTCACAAAGAAAGATTCTTCATGGGATTGAGTGTTGATATCAAATTAAATAGGGTTCTTCTAAATATTCAATCCAGATTAAGCATAATACTAAGACTCACCATTGCGCAAGAGACTTCTAAAAATTGGAGATATTATTAAGCCTCATTTGTCCTGGAAAATAGGGGCTGGAAGAAAATCCATTGTGTATGATAGATTGTCCAATTCTGGAGCCTTTTGTAAAAAAGTTTTGCAGGTCCTGTTTCAGATTTCTTATGTAATGGAGTTTACAAATGGAGATAATCAAACCAGGTGAAACTAAACAATATATTGCCAGCTGAGTTTTTAGAAAAAGTGAAAGCAATCCCAAAATCTTTCTAATCTTTCGAGTTGTAATGACCCTTAATTCTTGACGCATGTTCACAGTTTGGTCATATATTGAACTCTTCACATTCAGATGTACTACTCAAGCTCCTTATAATTAGATCTTGAATAGATCAATTCCTCCCAAAAATTGGAACTTTTATCAGGAGACTATTGAATAATTGCACTCCAATTAATGATGTGATCAAGAATAAACTAGGAGTATATCTAGTATCTATGTGACAATGGTGTACTCATGATAAACCTAGCACGTCTCTTCTTAAATGGAAAGGTTGAAAGAAGAGTTGATTTCATTGATCATGCTTGCGCTATTTACACACAATTGGATGGTTGACAGTTAACGTCATTTTAATCCTCGATTAGAACATAAAAATAGAAAATATACCAACGGCTAATTGGTATATTATACTAATTGATTCTTTTCAATCATTTGTTAAGGCTGCTCAAGGCCAGCAAATATTGAAAACAGGAACTCAGAGTAGTGGAGTACAGAGCTAGATATTCGGGAAAAAGTTCTTCATTTTTCCTTTTCAAAGTAATTTATTTTCTGAAAGCACCACACACAGTGTTAGCGGACTTCAGATATCTGTAGTATGTTCCATCCCGAAATTAGGGTTTAACGTCAATGACCTTCAATTACTAGATTATTCAACTAAATCCTTAGGCACAAGCACATTTATATCAGAAAACCTAGTGCTCTTGAAAAAGTGGGGCCAATTTTTCTTACGCCTCTAAAACTTTTTGGCCTTGGACTAATGGATTTTGGGTAAAATGCCACCATTGGCAACCATAACAGCATGCAAATGCTCTTCATTTTTTAGTTGAAACTCCATTAATGCCTAAAGCCTGCAGCTAGACCTAATGGGATGGTTTGGCCCAGCATTCAAAATCTTGTTCAACTCCTTATTTTTCCTTCTTTCAAGCTCTCTATTCACCATAAATTATGCAACTACAAAAATCACATAACTAAGGTTCATTTTTCATAGAAATCATCCATATTCGGAGATTTTAGAGATAAGAATTGTTATAAATCTTAAAATATACTCACACACTGTGCATTTTGGGTTCTAGAAGAATAAGAAGAAAAAATGCTCTACGGATGGAAAATCCTATAATTTTTCTTCACTATTTTAAAATGATTGAACAAACTCTATAATGGGAATTGCTATATTTGTTTGGAAAGTTCAAACCTTTTGGAAATTGAAACTGCCAGGTTGAAAGAAGAGGTTAGTTTTCATTTTCACTCAAGCGTATAAATGTTTCATCAATTTTACCCACGTTAATTTATAGATGTAGTGAAACACATGTAAATATCAAAATAACTATAGTTTTCAACTATTATTCCACATTATAGACTACGAAATTTGAGCGGGTCAATAAAATATGGGGTTCTCTAAGGCAAAATCATGTTTCTATGAAGTTTGATATTGTGTAATAATACACATTATATATGATTCATGTGACTTGTATACTCCATGGAAGCCATTCTTACAATTTCTTGCAAATAAAGAAATACATTAGTCACTTTTAACCTTCCTTTTAAATCTTTAAAAATTTTATCATGATAGTATATTTCCTAGTAATTTTGTACTTTTTATACAGGACAACACCACTTTTCACATGTATTTGTATCCTAAATATTTAGGGTCCGTTTGATTGTAAGAGTGGAATTTGAGTGGAAAGAAAATAAATTACACGGAATTGAATTACCTAGAATTATTTTTTGGTAAATTGTCAGTTAATTGTGTTTGATTTATAGAATTTCCACTTGAAAAATGTTGAAATTTTGGATGTTTTGATATTCGTTTGACTTTGTTTTTCATGGAAATTTTCCATTACAATTATCTATAGATTTTGTTTTCAAAAAAAACCCGGAAAACCAAATCTCACCAAATTGGTGGGAATTCATTTCCTCAAATCCATGGAAATCCAACCGTATGAGGCAAAAGTGAGTATATGAATTGCCAAGAAACTTGGCCAATCAAGCATGCCATTTGGGTGGAAATGGAATTTCTTTTCCATTTTCCATGGAATTTTTGTTGAATCAAAGAGGGCCTTAGAGTGCTTTGATGGAAAGTCGAGTAGAAATCTTGTTCAAATAGCCTATTGAATATGTTCAATCCCTTCTTTACTTAATAATTTGTTTGAGAAAAACGTGTGCTTGTTTGTGTATATGCATATGAATGGGGAAGTGAAGAAATGGAATGGATGCCAATGTGAAAATGGGTTTTCTACAACATACGTACGTGATTATTTTTCTTACTTTATATTACAAGAAATGCCGACAGCTTGCAAAAAATCCTATAATGAGAGTAAATAACAACTTTATCCATCCTTTAGGTTTGGAAAGCTGCCCCTCCATTTTTGGTAAGACTTGTAGCAACCTTTTAAAATTTAAACATTTGCAGGAAAATTTATGTTTGGGATTGTTCTCTATGTTACAGTCAATAAAATAAAAAAACATAATACAGAAATGGAAGCAGATGTTGGAAATTGAAAAGATCGATTGAAAGTTCATGGACGAATTCTACATATGAGCTAAAGACTAACTGTCCCTGCTTTTACCTATGGCCTGGAACCCCTAAGGCCCTCCTTGATCTGTCCCTGCTTTTAACTATGAAAAGTCTGTACTTTAAGATAATCAATGGATTTTCCGTTAGAAACATTCCAGCACCCCAAAGTGGCAACATAATGTCAGTTGGAAATATTCTGTTGGTCGCGACCATTAACAACGAATTTCGTGGCTTCAACAGCAAAAAATAATTCCACTACTTGTGTTTTTAGTCAACCAAAGAAGTGACAAGCATTTGTAGGAGAATAATTTTATAGGTATACAATAGTTTGTTTTCCATGTAAATATTTGCAATGTGCTGCTACCAAGAACATTTTTGATGAGAACAATGGAAAAGTAGTTATGGTATAGCTTAAACAAATATGATTAACCTATTAAATTATCAATCCCGCCATAATTAAAAAATTTTATTTTTATAATTTAGTATAAATAATCTTTAATGACATGAGATTCTAAGGACACACAGATAATAAAGGATGTTAGGCATTTTAAATTTGTACAGATCATTTCTGCGAAAATTACAATGAATTTGAATATATTAATGTACTGGTGGTTTAATCATTAATGCAGATAACAATAGAGCAGGATTATGATATTAATTTTCATATCCGAGGCAAGAGTGGTTCAAAATTAATAAAGGAATCCACCTAATAAGCTAATAAAATAAACGGGAAATTGAGTAAAGAAGGTTTGTGTTTTGTATTGTTAATTACATTTACCTTGGTCTCCATCCATATTTATTATAGCATCCTCACTTTAATTACTACCATAAAGTGGTGGTGGTTTTCTTAGTTGTTTCACATGGAAGTCAATCTCTAGTCATGACCAATTACTCAACAATGCAAAACCCTACTACCTCCATAGTCTTTCCAAAATATTACTGAATCATTAGCTGCACACACACAAACAAAGAATCCCGTCCCTGACTATTTTGGAGCCTATTTCTTAAATATCTGAAGTAGGTACGCTTGAACTTATCTATATGTCAAATGGGTGAATACATATATCCAAACTGAAACCAGCTAGAAAATTGATGTGCATTTTGTATATTCATTGTGTGACTGGAACTTCTCACATTGGCAGAGTTCGTCTGACAGCAGTAGAGAAACTGTAAGCAATGAATTCTGGGTATGGTGGAAGTGGATCAGGCAATGAAGAGACCTCAAACTCTCGGAGGGGAAGGAAACCGACCCATCAACACTCAATACAGCAAATACAACAACTTGAAGCGTAAGATTAAAATATAGAATACTTGATTTTCTTATTGATGATTTATAATTTTTTTACAAGTTTAATTCTTTTTTAAACAAAGCAATCCAAATTCGGATAAGGGTTACTATTTTGAGTGTTCTTTTTCATATACTTCCATTTTCTAGTTATTTAATGTTTCTTTTTGCAAAAAGTTAGAGATATTCCATATTTTTTTATATTAGGTCATGGTTACAACTTTCTTGATGCAGTAAATAATATCCAACTTTTTCTATTGTAGCTGCGTATGTATAGAACTAAGTATTTGGTTCAAACTGTTTTAGATTTTCATTTTGAGGGTTTCAAATCCCTCAATTATTTTGAATTTCTTCAATCAAAAACATGAATATTTTTCTCCTCATTGACGGAAATTATGCAGGTTCTTCAAGGAATGCCCAAAACCAGATGAGAATCAGAGGGTACAATTGAGCAGGGAACTAGCACTTCAACCCAATCAGATAAAGTCTTGGTTTCAAAATAAAAGAACTCAGATGAAGGTGCATATATATGTCTATAGTTGATTTATACAATTATATTCCTGTCTCCCACTCCCATTTCATTGCTGATAACTAACATAAGAGTATTTTATATATTTCAGGCTCGACGTGAGAGAGCAGACAATGGCACCCTTCGATCTGAAAATGAAAGAATGCGCTGTGAGAATTTAGCAATGAAAGAGGCACTGAGTAACATCATCTGCGCAACTTGTGTTGCCTCACATCTTGACGTAGAGGCGAGGCAACGTAATCTACTGAAATTAAGAATGGAAAATGCCTTATTGAAAGAAGAGGTGATTGTTTCCTCTCTTTATTTTATAAAGAAAATGCATGTGTGCCTAGGTAGTGGATATGGAATTAACTCTACCTCATCTATGACTAGAAATATTTAGTACAGAGGAGTGGAACATTCCGAATTTATTACCTGCCCAAGGAAAAAAATTAAATTTTATTATATAAGTCTTGAAAGAAAACAGGTGAACTCATTTTTGTTACATTTTGCAGCATGAAAAGATGCTTAACTCATACTCCAGTTTCATGGGAAACTGATGGTGTACAAGTATTGGCCTTAGATTATGTGGAAGCATGGGATAAGCACAAGCATCAGGGCACAGCAAAATAATCCCTTGTTCGGCCAATTGACTTCCAGGCGTCTAATGTCTTTATTTAAGTTTAAGCTTTATTTCTGTTAAATAGTCGCCAACCTTTAATTACAAAAGGGAACGTGGTCTTTTATTTATCCTTGGTTTCTGTCCTCCATAAACGTTTTTTGTATTGAATTCTAGGGATGGTTGTTTTTTATATTGAATAGACATTCAGGGTTTCTCCATCATCACCACAACAGTTTGCAGAACTTGAGGATGTTTCTAATCTTTTCATATCGCAACCAATTTCTGAAATCCATCAATGAGCTTTGCTCTTAGATGAACAAGCTGCATGCCTTGGTGGTGGATTATCCACCGCAAAAAATTCAACCAGTAGCTCGTGGGGCTGGATTTCACCCGTGAGCACTAATAACTCTCATTCGCAGCAGGGTCATTCATCAGAAAGTAGTTCAAGAAACGTCCTACGGTCTAGTTAAAGAAAATAAAAGAAAGAAAGAAGTCAGCAAACTAAATTTGATAGTGCACTGAGGGGTCATTGTTGTATACTAGAATGTATTCTCAGAGTTCTTTGGAACTAGTTTCATGCACTGAGGGGTTTAGGTCAGTGGGAAGTGGTGCTTAGCCAATGGGGGCATTATACGCGCATATGATCAAATTACAAATTTTAGTTAGAGGGTACATTTTTTACTAGATTATCATTATATTATGACACGATGAGATTGATGATTATATTATGGAGATACAACCTTTTGATTCTGGAGTCGGAGCCACATAACCAAGCTAATTTGTATGACTCATTTTATAGAGCATTTAATCAGTATTTTTTTACACAAGTTTCTTTTTTGCATCACTTGTAAATAGCTACGTGGTCTCTCTATATTTTGTATCCATATGTATAGTTTATATTGTTTAAAGAATTAAATCTTCAAAATTTAGTTGGTTTCTATTTTGTTGTTTTGTTGGGGTTATTGAAGGGACCAATGATCCCATTTAGTTGTAAGTATTTTTTTGGTGGGATAAGTTGCATTTTATTTCAGGTTGCAATGGGAAGATAATGACGAAAATTTCTTAAAAATAAATCATAACAAGTTGCCTATTTAGTAGCCTTGTTGGTGGATAACCATAAGGAGGGGGACTGGATGCATAAGCTCAAGTGATATAAACAAAGCCTTTGGTTGTGGGTGGAAGTTCACAATGAAAGATTATTTATAGGGTTCGGTGTTGATTTCAAAATAGTGCATCTAAACATGCAAGTCAAGATCACCCTTGTGGAAGATATTTCTAAAAAATGAAGATATTATTGAGCCTCATTGCATGCCTTGTTTCAGATTTCATATTTAATGGAGTTCACAAATGGAGATAAATCAATCTAGGTAAAATTAAACAATGTATTGCCAGCTATTTTTTTGATAAAGTGAAGGCAATCCCAAAATCTTCCCCATCTGATGTGTTGTAATGATAGTTAATTCTTGTGGCATGTTCAAGATCGGGAGCTCTTTACATCCACATGTGCTACTCAAGCTCCTTATAATTAGATATTGAATCCATCAATTCCTCCCAAAATTTTAATCTATATCTGGACCCTATTGAAAACAATTGCATTCCAATTGATGATGTGATCAAGAAGAAATTGGTGGTATATCTGGTATATACGTGTTGTACTCGTGATAAACCCTAGCATGTGTCTTCTTAAATGGAAAGATTTTCATTGATCACACTTGCACTAAATACACACAATTTGATAGTTGACAGTTTATATCATTTTACTCCTCTATTAGAACACAAAAATAGCAAAATATAGTAACTGCTATTTTTTTGCAAGTTTTTCTAAATAAGAATCAGAGAACAATCTCTTTTCTTCGTGAAAGATGTTGATGTGCCTCGACGGCTGGAGTGTTGTGCAATTGTATTATTGACTTTCCTTTCTATTTTCGTTTTTTTGTTTGCTGCCTCCTAAACAAAATGACATTGATTCATTAAGAAATGGATTTTTTTTTTGAGTTTTATCTCTTAATATGGACCATTCCTAGGGCTATTTTATCTTTGCTCTGGATGTATGTTCAACAGGGATTTCCTCATTATTTGGACCCTTCTTGGAGTAAGCCTTTGATTTTGTTTACTGTTTCATTATCCTGATGATCGTGTTGTGTCTTGAATAATTTCTTGTTTGTCCCTTAATTTATCAGACACAACTAAGAGCTTCTTCATTTCACAAGTCTCATTTGTCCTGCTAATGTGTTTCTGGTCGTAGAGTGTAAATTTACGTGGCCCATTTTTATGTTAGACCAGTTGATGTTTTTCATCATTTTGTTAAGGCTGCTCAAGACCAGAAAATATCCAAAACAACCGTGGAATAGAGAGCTAGATATTTGGGAAAAGGTTCTTCATTTTTCTTTTTTAAAGTAATTTATTTTCTGAAAGCACAACACACATCATTTCAGCAGACTTTGGATCTGTGTTCTATGTTTCATCCCAAAATTAGGGCCTGACATTGATGACTTCAACTACTAGATTCTTCCACTAAACCCTTTGATACAATGCACATTTATATCCGAAACCCTACAGTTCTTGTAAAGTGGTGCCAATTTTTTTGTGCCTTCAAAACTGATGCAGGGGAAGCTTATAGGAAAAACAAAAATCTCACAAAAAAGAATTTCAATCAAGAGAAATTCAAGAAAATTTTATTTCAATCAAAACTGCGCTGCCTCAAAAGGCTTACAACGATTAAATAGCGAAACCCTAATAAAATTCGGAAGGAAATTAAATAATAATAAAAAATATTATTTTTTCCAAAAATGGAAAAAATTGAGATAATCACGGATCTTGATTCTCCTAATCATCAGGATCATCCCCCAACAAATGGAAATCAAATCCGAGTTTATTTGACTAAGATATTGCCAAAACAAAAATTACCATAAACGGCAAAAACGCATAATTGAGGGCCTAAACGATGGAATTTGCCCAAAATTTGACGTGCTTCAGGGCCAAAGGCCCTGAGTTGTGATCATTGGCCCGTTTCCATTCAAATTAGACTAGCAATTCATCAAAAACGAACAAACCCAAAATTAAATTGAGTTATTATTTTGCCTTCATCAAAAACTTTTTGGCATTAAACTCTGTGAAGAAGAAGAGATATTCCAGTAATTCCAATATATCTTATTGACAATGGTTTACAATCTTTATACAGTCAAGCAAGCTATTTACAGAAATAATGAATAAGGTAAATTTACAGTTTGTCCATATAATTGCTACCTATTGATTTGTGCCTAATATATCAGAATCACCAGCTGGATGTGCGTGGATATTAATCCCTTTACCCTCCCTCAAGCTCAACGGAGCAACGCGGAGATTGAGCTTGGATCGGAGAAATGCAAACCGATCGCGAGAGAGGCCTTTAGTAAAAATATCGGCAAGTTGATGAGAGGATGGAACATAGCGAGTTGCGAGAGATTTGCAGGCAACAAGTTCCCGAACAAAATGATAATCGATCTCAATGTGGCGAGTTCTAGCATGGAACACGGGATTGGTAGCCAAGTGAATGGCTGAGACATTATCGACATAGATGCACGGAGCGGATGAGACTCGAATGCCAAGTTCGCGAAATAAATAACCGAACCAACGAAGTTCCGCTGCTGTATAAGCAAGTGCCCGATATTCAGCTTCCGTACTGAAGCGAGAGACAGTGGTCTGCTTCTTGGCAGTCCAAGTAAGAAGGTTGGGCCCTAAAAAGATGCAGGCCCCAGTTGTAGACCTACGATCATCAACAGAGCCAGCCCAATCAGAATCAGAGAACCCATGTAGGAAGTGATTTGAAGAGCGGTGAAACACGATGCCATGTTCAAGAGTGCCTTTCACGTAGCGAAAGATGCGTTTGACAACTTGTAAATGAGTAGTGCGAGGACTATGCATGAACTGACAAACTTGATTGACCGCAAAGGAAAGATCAGGGCGAGAGAAGGTAAGATACTGAAGACCACCAACCATGCTTCGAAAAAGAGTGGGATCGGAAAGGGGGTCACCATTAGTGCAAGAAAGCCGAGTGTCTGATGGAAGTGGAGTGGGACATGGTTTACACTCTGTCATATTAAAGTGTTTGAGGAGTTCAATTGCATACCTTGTTTGTGCCAAAAAAAGTGAGGAGTATGTGCGGGATATTTCCATACCTAGAAAAAATGAGAGATCACCCATCCGACGACTGTCAAAGGTAGAACACAAGAGATCCAAAAATGAGTCGATATCCTGAGCAGCAGAGCCAGTGACTATAATGTCATCAACATAGACAAGAATGAAGATGGAACCAGCTGGAGAATGGGAGAAAAACAGAGAAGCATCTGAGCGGCTGTAAGTGAACTTATGGTCCAATAGGAAGGAGCAAAGGCGTTGAAACCAAGCACGAGGGGCCTGCTTAAGGCCGTAGAGAGCTTTATGAAGGCGACAAACATGGTGAGGTAGAGAGGGATCATGATAACCCGGGGGTTGCTTCATGTAGACCTCTTCTTTTAGGACCCCATTTAAAAAGGCATTTCGAACATCAAGTTGTTGGAGTGGCCAGCCATAGGAAGTAGCAAGTGTAAGAATGGTACGAATCGTGGCTGGTTTAACCACTGGACTAAATGTTTCATCAAAGTCAAGACCTTCCTTTTGATTAAATCCCTTGGCCACAAGGCGTGCTTTGTAGCGATCAATGGACCCATCCGATTTTCGCTTCACTTTAAAAACCCATTTACAACCCACAATATTCATAGAAGGGGATGCAGGAACCAACGACCATGTATTATTACGCATGAGAGCATCATACTCATCGTTCATAGCAGATTTCCAATGAGGATATCGAGCAGCAACTGTAAAGCTGGTGGGTTCATGATTTAAGGGATCTGACAATATAGCAGAAAGTGCAAGGGGCAAGGGGTGAGGACTGGTTTGGGAGTACAAGGATGAGAGAGAACGGAATTTTTTTGGGGGCTTCGGAGAGTCGGGGGAAGAAGATGGAGAAGCTTGGATGGTTTTTGTGGTAGGTGAAGGCATGTCCAAAGAAGAGTGTTGGGGAGGAGAGTGTATACCTGACTCAGGAAAGAGAGGGCCCAGGGGAGATGAAGGCCCATGCGCGGGAGAGGAACCCAGGTGTGAGGGAAGCCCACTAGAGGTATCAATTGGGCTCGATGGGGAGAAGGTAACGAGGTGAATTTCGGATGGGCTAGTGGTCGGAGGATGAATATCATGAGGGCCAATTAAATTCTCACTTGATGCGGTAGGAGATAAAGGCCCAGTTGGCATGGATGTTGTGCTTGGAGATGAGTTCGTAGCATATGGAAAGGTTGTTTCATCGAAAATAACATTTCGTGAAATATAGACTCGACCACTTGTCATGTCAAGGCAACGATACCCCTTGTAGTGAGCCGTGTATCCAAGAAATACGTATGGTGCGGATTTAAAGGCAAGTTTATGTTTGTTGTAAGGTACCAAGTGAGGAAAGCAAGCACACCCAAAACTCTTAAGCATATTATAATCTGGGACTCGAGAGAAAAGCCGTTCAAATGGAGACTTGGAGCCAAGAAGAGGTGTCGGCAATCTATTAATCAGGAATACTGCGGTAGAGAAAGCTTCAACCCAAAATTTGAATGGAAGGTGAGATTGGGCTAAGAGACAAAGACCCATACTCACAATGTGACGGTGTTTTCGCTCTACCACTCCATTTTGTTGAGGGGTGTACGGGCAAGAGATTTGGTGAGAAATCCCACGACTACGAAGAAATGAGATAAAAGATTGCTCGTGAATTCACCGCCACCATCGATTTGAATTTGTTTAACAGTGGATGTAAATCGATTTTCAACCATTTTAGTAAAAGTAATGAAAGTTGATAGCGCCTCAGATTTTTGTCCTAACGGATAGAGCCAAGTGAATCGGGTGTGATCATCAACAATGGATAAATAATAGCGAAAGCCGTGATTCGACGAAATATGTGAGGGACCCCATAAATCAAGATGTAGTAAATCCAATGGAGATTGTGCATGAAAATTACGATATTCAAAAGGATGTCGACAAGATTTACCAAACGGACAAATATGACAATTATTAATAGAATTAATTGCACCACGAACGGGTAAATTGCATGTTTGTAAAAGAATATTAAAGACAGATTGTGCAGGGTGACCAAGGCGAGTATGCCAAACATCTGGAGTTGTACGAGCACCATAGAAAGCCATCCAATTGGTGGTGGGTGGAGATGGTTGAATGTGATAGAGTCCATTTGAGCTATTCCCAGTGAGAAGGATAATCCACGTCTTGTTGTCCTTTACACGAAATCCATTAGAGTCAAATTCAAGAAAATAGGCATTATCACGACAAAGACGACGAATGGATATTAAATTTTTTTGAATAGCAGGAACACACAAAACCTCATTAAGATGTAGTAATTTATGGGATCCGGTTAATCTTGCATTCCCAGTATGAGTGATTTTTAGTTTGTTCCCATTACCAACAACTATAGTGTCCGTACCTGTGTAAGGGTGAGAGTCCGAAATAGCAGCTGGATTGGGTGTTATATGATGGGTTGCCCCGGAATCAAAGCACCAAGTGGAATTTTGGGTTGCTGTGGTTGAGGGAGTGGTTTGGGCCACAAATGTCTGAGGCCCACGTTCTGGACAGTAACGGGCTATGTGACCCAATTTGTCACACCTGAAGCAAATCAGGTTCTTGCGTGGATGAGTTGCTGTGGGTGTGGGAAAGAGAGGTGGACGTTCGTCGGAGAGAGATGGTGGTGATCGATCGTGAGAGTGGCGATCTCGATTCCACACCGGTGAAAGATAAATAGAAGGGGAGAGTCGACGTCCATGGCCTCGGTTACCTCTGCCAAGTCCTCTGCCGCTACTGTGATGAGAAAATGAATTTTGATTCTGATCAGCGGGTCTCCGATCAGCTACCATGGTAATTCCAGAAGCGGTGGTTCGATTGAGTCTCTTGTGTAAGTGTTCCTCTTTTAACACTAAATCATAGAACTGATCAAACTCCAGATCGGGATGCATATGAAGTGTCGTAGCCAAATTTCTGAATTCCAGCCCCAATCCGTCGAGGGTGTAGGTGATGAGTTCATCATCATCCATAGAACCACCAGCAAGTTTTAATGAATCAAAGAATGATTTTGCTCGATTGAGATAGTCAGAGATTGATGAGTTACTGTCCCATTTAAGTGTTCGAATTTCATCTCGGAGGAGCCGCATACGGCTGCCTGCTAATGGTGAGAGTCGCTTAGCCAATAGATTCCATGCCTGAGAAGCAGTAGAACATGAGATGAGAAGTGATTTAGTGGAAGGTGAGGATGTAGCCTTGATCCAACTGAGAACTAATTTGTCCCGAGCAAAATCTGGGTGGACAGTACCATCTGCCATTACTTTGGGTGGATCCACTGTGTTTTTGATAACATCTCCAAGTCCATGTATGTCCAGAATGTCTGTAAATTGAGATTTCCAACTGAGATAATTGTTCCTGTCCATGGGAACCGGGAATTGAGATGAGATATTATAGGTGAGAGGGAGAGAGGAGTTGGATGAAGTGGTGAGTTTAGAGATTTCTGAGATCAATTTTGTCAGATCGATGGTGCTAGACTCGCTGGATTGTGGTGTTTGTGCCATTGAAAAGAGATGAGAAGTTGGATCGAAAATTTTTCGGCGTTGGCCTGTTATGGCTCTGATACCATGAAGAAGAAGAGATATTCCAGTAATTCCAATATATCTTATTGACAATGGTTTACAATCTTTATACAGTCAAGCAAGCTATTTACAGAAATAATGAATAAGGTAAATTTACAGTTTGTCCATATTTAATTGCTACGTATTGATTTGTGCCTAATATATCAGAATCACCAGCTGGATGTGCGTGGATATTAATCCCTTTACTCTGATGGATTTTGGGTAAAACGCCATTGTTGGCAATCATAACAACATGCAAATGCTCTTTAAAAAAAAACAAAGAAAAATTGAAACACCATCAACGCATAAGGCCTACTGATAGACCTAATGGGGAGGTTTGGATCAGCGTTTAAAAACTTGTTCAATCCCTTATTGTTTATTCTTTCGAGCCCTCCCTTCAGAATAAATTATGTAACTACGAAGGCTATATGACTAAGCTTTGTTTTCCATAGAAACCATCCATATTCAATGATTTTATACTTACACTTTTTCTTGAGATAATAATTGTTATAAATTTTAAAATATCATCACATGCTTTACCTTTTGGGTTGTCAAAGAATAAGCAGAAAACTGGCTCGACGAAATTCGTCTGTGTATTTTGTTGGGAGCAAGCATGATCATTGGAATTATCCCACGATATGGCAAAATATATTTTACTTGAAAAAATCATAAGCAATATGGTAAAAGATGTTTGACATTAAAAACGTTGAAAGTACTGGTATGATTAGATAGCTTCAAACGATAAGAATTCAGGTTAATCTAGGCAATGATCTCCGCTGATCCAATCTTATTTTCCGAAACTACCTATGTAAAATCTCCTACCTCAAATTTCACACTTCATCTCTTTATCTCACTAGCTTGTTTATACTTGATAGCTTCCAGATATTCATAAGTCTTCTTGTGAATGTGTTGCAGTTGTTCCACAAAATCACCGACCTTCCCATGCACTCTTAACTAAGAAGGCACTAGGTCCAATCAAAAGAACAGCAAGGGACAATATCATAAACCATGCAAAAAGCAACCCTTGCCCCAGTTCAATGCATGGTTGTGAGCAAACTCTACTGACATAGGATCACATGACTTGATTGTTAGCCAAACAACGAAGCAAATAACCCAAGAAATGGTTAACAACCCAAGTCAGATCTGTCTGGGGTGGTAGGTGCTACTGAAATCAACCGTGTATTCATCAAATACCAAAGACTCCTCCAAAAGTGACTACGAAAAATGAGTATCCCTTTCAGAATGTAATCGACATATCTTACGGAAATACAACAATGTCGCATTGACTGCATGTGTTGTCTACTTGTAATGGATGAAGTGGTCTATTTTTAAAAAAACGATCCACCACCACTAAGATAGAATCAATGCCATGTTAATTTGTGGGAAGGCCCAAAACAAAATCCATGCGCATATCTGTCAAAGGCCAGGTTGGGATAGGTAGCGGCATGTACAAACTAGAATTTGTGGCCTTACAACAGAATATGTATTTTCATTTAGGTACTGATGTGCACTTGAATTTAGGATAATTAAAATTTCATAGGCTAATCTACATGGAATCATTTTCTTGTTATATTTTTCAGCACTGAAAGATGAACAACATACTAGTTTTGCAAGAGCAGGCAAAGGTCATCTACAAACAACAGATGGTAAACCAAGAACTTGAACATCGATTTGCAGGTGGTTCGTCTACTAAATGATATTCTCTTTTATGGAAGGTCATATAACTCCGTTATGCATCTTTAGTTGGGACATACATCATGGTATCCTTGGAACCTACATATATTAAGATGACAATAGTTGTGCTACTTGGTGATTAGAAGTTTGGATTTGTCTGATTTTGAATGACCTCTTATAATCCTTTTAAAAATATTTAAGTTCAATGGATGAACTTATGCAAATAGTTGTCTAGATCTTATTGTTATAGCTTAGTAATGGTTATCATCTACAAATTAAACAACCTAGACCATGTTTATCTTTATCTAATAATTACAGTGGTGTCAGTATAATTATGTCTATTTTGAATCACTCTGCATTTATCCACGGCATCACTTCCTTATTGTTTATGTTTATTAATGTCATGATTAGAAAACATTACTTGTCAATGAGTTCAGTGAGTTCCAAGAAATATATACGGGAGAAATACTGTATTTTATTGGCATAGTTATGAAGATAATTGAAGAGGCTAATTCATCTCTTGGAATCAAAATGCAAGTATATGTTTCAGAATTTCAGAATGATTTTTTTATTGCAGAGTTAAATTTACTAATGTGAACAAGTATTAGGAGAATCTTCAATGTCTCACATTCACATTTGCCGCTACTGTATAGTATGTAGCAGCTCATGAATTAGCGTAAATCAAGAGACTTTTGTATTTACCAAGAGTATCCATTTAAATTGTTCAAATAGAGCGAAGTCAAGGATTGTGAGCAAAAGTAGCTGAAGAACATTTGGAGAAA